CAAAAAAAATTTGCAGCAGAAGGTGTAGCATAATTAAGAATATTCCTTATATGTCGATTACTGCATGGTTTCTTTATAATGTCAATGTCTCCTATAAAAATTTGCCTGTCTAGAATTATATTTCTTTCCACTAGATTACAATGTCTCAAACACTGAATTACTCCACTGGGAATTGCATCCAAGGTAATGGCATATTCTTTGGGAGAGATTGGTAATTCAAATTTATTTAGAAATTCTGAGTATGATAGAAGTAATCCATCTTTGTTTATTAACTGGGCAACTAAAAGGATCCCATTGTCATACCATGAGCGATAAAACAGTGATTGATTCTTTATTATTCCAGATAAAGTACTTATGTGGACTGAAATTGTGTTTGTATACCAGTGTCCAGGTTTTTTGTTCGTTTTACTCCCACTATTTATCTATATTTTGGATCTTTCACCGGCTGCCTCCTTGAGAAACGGCATATTATAACTCTTGAAATTCATTTGTGAATCAGAAATTCTGTTTTGGTTTGACAAGCCAAGATATTCAGCAACCCCATCTGGACCTCGAGGAACAGTTTCTGGAAAAGCCACTGGTGGGCAGTGGTGGCACAATAAATCAGAGTTAGAAATCATAGTTACAAAAGTGACAGTTTATTTAGGACCACAAAAGCATTACAGGGCATAGCATTCAACACACTACATGTTTTTATATATATCTCAATAGCATAATTACTATTAGTACTATAAAGTAACATGATTAGAAAGGATGCTCAAGAAAGTTAATATTTACCCAACTCAACATTGATTATTTCCATTTTTATTGACCACCTAAATGCAGCAGACACACACAATCGCTGACATTATCTGCTTTGTTGTTGTGAACATTTGTGTACGATTGCCTTTTTGTACATCCTAAAGATGCAGAGCAACACTAGCATTCATTGCAGAGTCTTGCAACTTGACAAATTTAAGTGCAACATGTACTCAACAGCTAGATGTTGCTAATTCATTGTCACTGGTTGTTGAGCACGAATAGCAGACAATTTCACGTTCAACAGATAAAAAGTGTGCACATAGCCTTCATAAAACATATCTTCAACCCTACTCTACAAATTGTAATCATTACTTTAAGATGTTTTTATTTTTTAAATCATGTGCATATCACATGCTGTGTCCATGCTGATTTCAAATAATACACCAGATCTGTTATTCCACTTGTTTGTTCAAAGGGAGCAACTGAGAAAGTGGTTTAGTGATCACTCCAATCACCGCCCCTCTCCTCAGTGTTCCAGTTGCGGCTTTATTCACCACTTTTAACCTGAGCTGCAGCTCCAGCAGATCCTTGTGGCTGAGCTCTGTGAAGAAGAAGTCTTCGTTGAACACGGGGCTGCGGCAGTTCCTGATGGTGGCGCTCTCCTGCTGCTGCAGCTTCCCCGGTGTCAGGCACAGATTCACGGCACAGTTCAGGGTCTGTCGGTCGGCATCGTCCCACACACCTTCCACAGACACCACACGTACTCTGACAGCGGAGAGGGAAGAGAGTGGCTTGTTGGGGAACGTGGCGTGCTCAGCAAGGAGGTGCACTGTGCCGCGGCCCTGCAACGGGAGGACGTGCTCCCGCTGAACATCCAGTGGGAGGAGGACGGGTGGAGCTGGGCTGACTGAGTGTTCCTCCAAGGTTGGAGGGCTGCTCGCAGAGGTGGTTAAACTCATCCCCACCTTCCTCCACCTCCCTCTGTCCTCCTTGCTGTCAGTCAACGAAGGACAAGACACTGCTCCTTTTAGACGGCCCCTGCTTGATGCGCTGTAGAGAGAGAACTTGGCGCTGTAAAGGGCACTGAGGGGAGAGGAGTCACTGGAAGAAGGTGTTCCTCCTTCTGGGCTGCCAGAAGTCTCTGACAGACTTTTGCATGAAAACAGTGGGAAAAACCCAGCTGAAGTTTTCTTGGGTGGGTTGGTCTGCTTTGCCACTCTGGCCGCTGCAGTAGGAATGCTTCTGTCAAACATGTAAACAGGACGCTTTGAAAGGAACAGAGACTCTTTCCTTCGAGTGTTGAGGCTCTCGTATATCCCAGTCAGGCCGTAGCCCTCAGCAGAGAATGGTAAAGGTTTCTGTGTGTGTTTCCAAGTCGCTGACTCGTCACCTTTCTTCGTCTTCACCTCCTTCGACTTGGTGCTTGAGACAGTGCTGCTCTTTGACATCTGCTTCAGATTGTGCAGGTACGATGGGATTTTCTCAGTTTCTGGCAGTGGGCTTCTCTTGCAAAGCCGTGGGGGCAGGCAGAACTCTGGGATCTTGTCTGGAGTAAGGATGTTGCTGTGCAGATTCTGAGGGAAACTGGTCTTGGAAGAGAAAAAGATGTCCTCCTCACTCTTTCCAATGTAACGACTCAGCTCTAGAGGAATGCTCTCCATGCTCTCCTTGATCTTCCCAAGGACCCACATGGTTGTTTTGTAATGAATTAATAACGTTAAAGTGAAGTCTTTGCGCTCACATCCAAGTTGTTTTTTTCCCCCCTTTTGCAATAGAAACAAAGCACATTATTCAGGCAAATCAAACCAATAAAGCTTTAGTATAACACTTTAAGAAGGAGAACAAACAGTGAAATGATAAACATTTCCTCTCACCTGTGAGGCTGTGATGCGCCCTCCTCTGAAGACAGATCTGCGTGTGTGTGACGGATGCTTGTGACAAATTTTTAAGCCGAGTCTGAGGCTCTGCATCACCGGTTTGCTGCCCCCGCCTGCGTCACAAAACACCCTGTGCGCTCGCATGCACAAGAATACACACAACGGAGAGTGTATTGCGTAAGTCATCGCTCTTGGAAACTGGGTGGGTGGTGAATCGGAGTCAGGTGCATCGATGTGCATTTAGTTACGATGGGATGTCATCTGCAGAGACGATTCACATCAATACTGAAATTTCTACTGTTCCGTAAATGAAAGAGTCACAAAGTATTAAATGTGGTGCTTCGAATGCCACTTTAACCTACAGCGTACATGTTTAAGATGGAACTTTATCAATTTCATGTTATGCCAAACGCACGAGTTCCAGTATTTGTTTTACACAACTCCACTAAGTGTATCAATAGTGAAGCGGTCAATAGAAAGAAATTCAAATAAAACGCACGAGCAAAAGTGTGTTATTGTTTGTTGTTGTCATCTTGACATAAGGATAACGTGCTTCTGAGAGAGCTGACCTCTCGTTCAAAGGCAGCGTCCCACCAGGCCTACAGACAGCATCCAGCACCTCAAAGACCCTCTGACCTTTACACAGACACACAGCTGAGCGGATGTCTATTAGTCAGCTTGGAATCAGTAGGTATTCTTATTTAGGTCAACTCAGCTAACTGCAGTTTGGGAGAAAAAAAAAAGAGGATGATAGTAAAAAAAAAAATCCAAACTGATAAACCCCCCAAAAAAGCATATCTCACGCTTTCACTAGAACACTTTGTGATTTTGCAATGATCCTTAAAAGGTAGAGCCATATAAATGTGACCATTACTGTTCATGTTGTAGATAGTTTAACAAATGTCTTTTTTGTTATCGTTTCAAATGTGACAAATCTGGACCTGGTTCTTTGACACTCAACTGAGCAAAAGGTTGCTGCAGTTTTGGGGAAAATTGCGAGCTTGAGTCTGACTGTCTTTGTTTTACTCACCTGGTAAATACCAAATCGACTCAGTATGAATTCCTCCCTCTCAGATATTGAATTCAGACATTCTCAGGCTCCTAAAGATCTATTTTTCGTCATGATATGGCATTCTACTCCTTGACTATATCATACTTTGTGGTCTTGTAATCTTGTACTGGCTGCAAGACTGAAGCCTTTTCAACAGTGACTTATTCCACCACAAGAGGGCACACCTGGATTAGATCCTGGCCAGCCTCAAAGTTGTTTCTCCTGGTTAAGACATTAGTGAGAAATAGTTAATATTTTTGCATAGCATCATTAGTATTATAGCATCTTTAAAGATGATTACAAAAGAAATGGAAACCCAAAGGTTAGTCAAAGTTGTCCATACAGGCAAGCACACACACAAAAACCCACCCACATTAAAAACATGTATAATTGGCTTGATTAAGATAATCCTAGCTTATTGTTCTAATTAAAAAGTAAGTGAGAAACAACATTCGTGCCCGTGTCCCTGCCTCTATGCATGCAGAGTGTGTGTGTGTGTGTGTGTGTGTCTGTGTGTGTGTGTGACAAAGAGAGAATATCAAGATGATGAATACATTCGGTCTGGGGGCTCCGGAGCAGCCAGGGGTCAGGAGGCTTTTTGTGGTAGTGAAGATCAACTTTATTACACCAATAAAAAGCCCGAGTGCTCTCTGTAATGGAGAGATAAATGATTGGGAGTCAGAGGAGGACCTTGCCTTTAACCGCTGTCGCAGCTGCAATTAACGCTAACGAGAGAATGGTACATTGTTGCCAAACGCTCAAGTGTATTAGTGCTAAAAACCTTTTTGTTCTGGAGCTCTGGATTTTTAACATAATTCATTTGTTTTGTTTTATTATTTTGTGAGCTTGATTGTTTAAATTTAAACAGTCTATAGAAGACTATTTTAACTGTGAAAGGTTTTTAAAATATTCCCTTTGCATTTCTGTAAAGACTTCAGCAGGACTCCAACTCCTAACAGTGGTCTTATTGAACCATGCTGCATTCTGTTCTCAGCTTTTGAGAAGCATATAAACTCTACATTAGTATACTGGTCAAATATCCGCTTATGCCGAGTGAATGTGTGTGAAGTGCTTTGTAATTCAACTAGAGCTGCACTCGATCGCTAGAAGGCTTCCCTCCCTTGTGCCGCACACACACACACACATACTTACAACAAAGATAATTGTTGTTGTGTAAAGGCCTTTCACATGCACTGCACCAGGAAAGCATTAATTCAAAACCACATATACACTCTACGCCTTGTTCTCTTTACTTAGAGCAGTCATAGAAGAGCCAGCTGACTCACTGCTTTTTGCTTCACATCAACGACTGCAGCTTTCTGTTACCTTCTGATTGTTAAAGAAATAATAACCCAATAGAAAACAGGCACTCTGTGTTCATGTACATTGATGTAATGCGTCTCTTCAACCACTGGAGGCTGTAACTTCATCCCGATAGCCGCCTGCCCACGGCTAAACGTGACCTTTTAGCTTTCTGTCTTCACAAGAAAGGAACAATGGAAACTTTGGCTCAGTTTTCATGGAAGTTGACTCTTTTAAACTTGCTCAGTAAGAAAAATGACTCCCAAAGCGCTCTTGCTGATTCAGTTCAGTTGCTCAATGTGGCAGAAAAGACTTCTGGTGCCCGATGATCAAAGATCAATCAAACAAGTCTTTGTGTTCTCTACATGGTTACCCTCTCTTCAAAGCAACTCTTGTTTCAAAAAAAATGAATCATTTCCATGCACACTGTCTTTGCTGATGAATTGAAATGATCTTAATGGTTTGTTTGACAATCGTAGTAATAATATAATATATGATCCGAACAGGTCAACTGTGGATGACAGTTGTTTTTGGAGAGTCTCACTTTTAATGTCGCTTTCCTGAGAAGATGCTTCATACTTGCTGCAATACAATACATAACTGAGGGGGTAACTCTGTGGCATAGAAAGAAGTTTAACCTGATATGTAGAGCGTTTTTAAACAGTCTTGATTTGTTTGAAATGCCAGGACACATATGTTGAAACAACCAAAATGAAATAGGTGCATTAAAAAATTGGTTTAAATCTATAATGCTTGCAGGCTTTTATCCTGATTTGCATAGTTTGATAGGAGCTTTAAGAGACCTGTCTCATTACATTATTTTTTTTTTTTGCTTATTATCACTGCAGCCTTCATATAACCAAACGAGGCCAGTCTGGATCCAAGGCAGTTTTACTAAGTCAAACCTTTGTCATAAGGTTTTCTCTGTAACTCTGCCAATTATCATGTTTTGACATTGTGTGATGAGATTTCAAATTTCAAGTACAAACTCAGCAGGGAAAGAGCTGATGACACACTTGTTAATTTCCATTTCACTTTAATCTTCTATTATCGAGGATTCAAATGAGGCCGTTTGGCCGCTCGTTCTCTCACGAAGCACTTAACCTCTGATGAAACTGCGGAAGTTTTTTGGCCGCCGAACTTCTTTGTGCTGAACTCCTCGGAGAAAGTGAGGAAGTCGGAGAGGAGAAACGTCGGGAAGGAGGCCAGACCGGATGAACCGCTGACCTGTTTTGAATTGATAATAAAGTGTAATAATGGCTAATAAGGTGTAATAATTTGGACCAATAAAGATAGATGGCAGATTGAAGATGATGTGAGCTGCGGCAGAAGACCTTACTCTGAGGACGGAGCAGAGACAATGCCTTCCAGCCGGTGGGGGGTGGATAAAATTTGACCCTGGATCAGTGAATCATTGTGTAATTATTTAGGAGGAAAAGAAGAGGGGGAGGAAGGGGGACTGAATGAGAGAGAGATGGATGGAGGATGAGGGAAGCTGTTTTGGAGAAGACAGGAACATAACGGAGCTGGAATAAGCTGCATTTTAAGGCCCAATAGATGGGACGAGGAAGACTGATAGGAGTAATAGAGAGAAAGAAATGGGGGAAACGTCAAACAGAATACAGAATGTAATGCATTACGGAGAAAAGACGGAGAACAAGAGTTATAGTAATGTGCAGTGGTCCTGAGTGACCTGTCGTTAGGACTCTTTCCCCCTGACAGCTTCTCTCTGTCTCCAGGCCTCATGCCAGTATGCTAATTCCCCTCAGATGGTCTTTTCATTGGTTGATGCTGACTCCTGTCGACACGTGCCAGATGACTGCCCTCTCATCCTCACTGTTAAGGACCACCGCCATGGATACGGCAAGGAGACCATTACATTAAGGTAAGAGCAGATGAAGCCGTATGCCGGCTGCCTGCTTGCAGTGAATCACGTATATTGTTAGAATAAGTTATGGCACGGACCAAAACGGTGCCGTGCAGGCATGATGGGAAGTGGAACAACACCTTACTTGTATGCAATATGTAAAAAATATATTAACAATAAGAGGACTGTCGGAAAAAATCAGGAAAAGCAAACAAGAAGTGATTGCCCCTTCCTTATTACCACCACCACAAATACCCTGATCTGACCTGATACCCCGACCTGTCACCCCCTCCCTGTTAAAGCAGTGGTCAGTAGATCAGACTGTGATTGTAGTGGACAGGTGTGACTTTGTGGCAAACATGTAGAATAATTATCAAATTGACTTCATACAATTCTGTAGCATCTTTATCGATAAATGACATAAATTGGAAAATAAATATGTCTTGTTTTTTTCATTTTAAATAGCAAAATTGCACCATTTGTTTTTTGGTTTCTGCAGGAGCGTTTGTTGTCAGTTTAAACGAACTGGGAACGCTCTGGACTTTCACCTCCCTGTTTTAATAATTGACCATGTTGTGAGCTTAGAGCAGCTTC